ATTAACTGTCATTGTGTTAAAAAGACGCCAAACTGGCAACCGAAAAGTCTCACCCTCTCTACCTCTTTCTCTCTGTGGCCTGCCAGTTGAACAATGACAGGCCGACGCCCCCTTCTTGCCACTTACGCCACTGCACCGCACTTGCCACCACCCCTTTCGCAGTAGTTTGCGTGTCAAGTCAAGCTCCTCCCGCCCGTCCCGTCCCCAGGACTCACGTCATCCGCTGCGCTAATACTAATGCGTTGGCAATAACAAAGGCTGCACATGCTCGCCCCAAACGAACACCCAAAGTTCCCGAGTTGTTGGCAACTAATCAATAGAGCAAAATTTACGTTTAATTAAAAATGTCTGCGTGTGTAAACCGGGGTAGGTGGCAGGCAGAAAGGAGCCTACTACACAGCCTAGATCGTGACATTAGCCAAACTGTCAGAAGGATAATTGCCTGGCTTAATGTGTAAATAGTCATTGGGGAATGTTTAGATACTTCGACTACCTTTTTAAGTTGCGAAATGCATCCTTTTAATATTTCTTAAGGTCAATAATAAATATTCTATGTAAATAATTTAGGAAATTAAAACGAAATCCCTTTCCGAATGGTCACTCCTCGAGATGGGATATCCTTTTAACCCCTTCGATTTACACGAACCATTATAATTTAAGGGCATTGGAGTATATTTTACATAAGGCTCGCTCTTGAGTTTCCCCCTGTCCGAACGATGCCGAATGTAATTAGAAATCCTCAGCAAACATACATACATATGTAAAGCGCTGCTCCTTCGTCCTGTGTGTCTGTGTGAGGAGGGCCAGGATTCCTGCTGCTGCAGTTGGTTTGATGTGCAAAATGAAGACATTTGAATTTGCGGTTCGGGCTTGAGCACCGTAGGCTATAGATTTTCTTACGACACACGTTCGCACACATGCAGGTGTTGGTTTGGGGTTATATAATGCACCCTTCCGCCACCCATCCCGACACACACACACACACACACTCGTGCATATACACCCTCTCACCTGGTTTTGGCCTCTGTCTGCCCGCTGGCCATGCAAGTGGGGCGGCATCTCAATATAAACTGCCTTCAACATTTAATTAGTGTGTTTTCGCACACAAGGCTCAGCATGTGTGTGTGTTAGTATGCAAATGGCGATGGGCGCAACTGTACATGCTCCCACACACATACACACATGCAAGCAGCTCTCTCTTCTACTTGCTCTCTGAAGAAATTGACGTTTTGTTGGTTATGCAAATTCCATGCCAACACCTTTTCGGCCAAAGACTAAGAGAAACTTAAGTGTACACCGGGAAAAATGAAGGGTATGTTTATGAATTGGACATATTGAATTAATTTCACATATTTTAATTCCATTTGGAAAGTGGAGGAAGTATTTCTGGAAGGATAAAACCATCTCTGAACTTTTTTTTTACCATAATATAAACCCATAATGTATAATATTTTTTTTAAGCATATATATTTATTATTTCTTAGGCTTTATTTAATTCTTAAGTAATTATATTAGGCCCAACATCTAGTTTAAATCTATAAAAACCAATTTAAATCTTTCTTCATAAATATTTTCCATAATATCTTTTCTATTCTTCCTGTGTACTTCACCATAAACCCCCAGGACCTACACCCTCACACACACACATATGTCTACCAGACACACTAACACTAACACACACACAATTGCCTTTTATAATTAATTTTACAGTTAAGTGTATTTCAAGAAAGTTAAATTTACGTAAATTCGAAAATTTTGAAAGGCCATTGCCTTGGCCAGAACGCTCACACATACACACACAACCACAAGGGTTAAGGCCCTGATGCCAGCAAGGAGTGAGAGAGGGTTTATGTGTGTGTGTGTGTGGTTTGTGTCTGAGACATTTGACTGCTTTTCGGGCTAAGCCAGCCACTTCCCATGCTCCTGCCACCCCCACTCCTTGGCCAACGCAAATTTTATTGAAATTGCCAGGACTCCGACTTGGAGTACACAAGGCTGGACGGGGGGCAACGGGCAACACTTACATTATGCAATCTAATTATGTCCTGACTGGCTTCTCTGTATGAGTGCTAGTGTGTGTGTCGAAGGCCAAGACAAAATGGCGTCTTAGCTCAGGCTTAGAGCAACTTCGGCTGGGATAAAGTTCTAAGACAAATCGAGGGACACAAATGACAAAAATTAAAACTTTAATTACATTATAAAGAAAGCATTTCATAGGTTTTATCTATAAGATGTCCAAGCCAAAAGCTGGTCTAAAATAAAGCCTGAAGTCAGTTTTTTAACTTTCAAATTAAAATGTTAATGATTCAAGTTTAATTCCATTTTGAAACCTTTAAATTTGATTATTAAATATTTAAGTAAAGCCTAAGATAACTTCTAATTTATGTATAAATCCCCAATGCGAATCTCTATTAACTCTACTGAAAATCAATTTCGAACCCCCGGAATCGTCCTCATTAAATTGCTTCTTGTAGGACTAATGAAATCATTAAAATTGTTTAAAAGCAAATTTTCGTTGGCCAAGCCGTAGGACACACACACACACATATACACAGAGCATGCAAAATTTATGTGGCAACTAGAAACTATGTTTTGGCAACACACACACAAACAGAGAGACTACCACCCCCACACACCAAGACGCACAGACAGGGACACTCGTATGTAGTCGGCAAAGGACATTGCCTTGAGTTAGGATCGGGGCCGAGGCCGAGGACAGACAGCAAAAGTTGCCCGGCTGAAGGCGGTGGTAAATCCTTGGCAGGGACACCCATCCAGGACCCACTTCCCTTTACCCACAAGGACTCCATCCCCACTGGCCGCGTGCGCTACTTAAACCCTTGCCGAAAACTATCCGCAAAAGGGGTTTGCGCGGAGTTGTCGGGGTGGCCAGACATCGAAAACATGATTTTAGTGTTTTCAAATTTGAATTTTAAACAAGTCATAATATAATTTGGCTAAGCAGCAGCAGCCGGAGAGCCCCTGCCTGTGTCCACTTGCCGGGCCTTAATCCGAGCAACCCAGCCGTGCTGTGGAGAGAACCTCGGTTCCAACCCTTGCGCGGCGTCTATAGAAAATTAGCCCAGGCCCTGGCTCATTTTCCAGCTTGGCGTTTTTCTTGCAGCGCCGAAATTGGGAAATTTAAATTAGATACAAAAGTCTCTATAGCCGCCCAACTGGGATAAGAGCGAGCGTGAGTGTGGGTGCGTGCCAACTATCTCACACGAAATATTGTAATTTTCTTGCAACTAAAGACGTAAACGGATATTAGCAGCAAATTAAGCCCTCCTCTTGTCCTGTTTCTGGCTGTCCTTAGCCGTCCTGCTTGGGTGTTCTTAGCGATGGCAGCGTTTCGTTATCGATAATGGTAATTTTAAGCGATTTAATGGGTTAAAAGATAAAAATTATAAAATTCAAGGATTAAAGTTTCAGCATTTGCTGAAATAGTTTTAACGATCTAAAAAATAAAGCTAACTAGGAAAAAAAACCTAGATATAAATAGGATTACCTACTCTTTAAGCATATATATTTTTGTTATTAAAGATATCTTTAAAAATCTCCCATAATTTATTTAATATACAAACATCGATAGTTTCTCCCGATTTCCCCCATCTCTAGGCATAATAAGTAAATTGAAACTGCTTGGGCAACAACGGACAGCAACATTTTCGATTCGGGTTGCTGCTGTCTTGGGCTTTGGTCTGCTAAAAGGGTCCAAGTATATAGTTTAAATCATACTCGTGTCGACGTCGACTTGGCTACATTTTAAATATGCTTCTTGGAGGGGGTGGCGACAAGGTTGTGGGGGCTTGGGCTAGGGTTAAGGGGCGTGTGGACTCGGGGTTGGGGATTCTCCGGACTTTGTGGGCGGCGTAGTTCAGCTCAGCTCAGTGTGTGGGCGGGCAACTTGGCCTCTCCATTCTCTATTCTAATTTCTAATTATTTCTTCATGTGTGTGTAAGGGGGGTGTGTAGATAGTGTGTGTGTGTGTGAGTGCCTGACCAGATGGGTGGGCCAAGCTGAATCCTGCCCTGCCACATCCGTCCGACTGTCTGTCTATGCGAATTAATTAAGTGTTTTCGTGCGCGGGCAAATCCTTTTGCGGTTCAGAAACTTTTGAGGTCGTGGGGGGAAATCAATTATAAATTAAACATTTATTAAAGAAAGCGCACACATTGCCCGGAGCCTAGCTATATCCCCCCCCCATACCTTCGATCCGGGTAACCCAAAGTTTTGCGCTTTACCTATGCAAATCAGCTGCGGCATAAATAATGCGACATCATTATTTAGGCGAAGGTAGGTAGGCGCACACACGACCGCGATTCTGTGCCAGAACATTTCTGTCGTCGGCCTGGCCATCCATCAATTATGTCTCCGCAGCTGGGGAAGCCTCCTCCTTTTTCTTCTGCGGATTCGATTGTCTTCGGGAGATGGAGCAGCCCCTGGCTTCCGCTCCCCTTTTGATTATGCACATGCATTTGGGATCGTACATCAAACTCGAACTCGAATAAATGTGACGGCCTGCATGCATTCAAAGAAGAGAAAACCAAAAAATAAAACGAGTAACAAAATACGAACAACCACTGTCGGGAATATGCTGATAGATGCCGGGTATAACTGATTTGTGTGTGTACCCGTATATATCTGAATTGGTAATTTGCTATAAGGCGACTTTAATATGGCACGCAGTGGTCCGCCAGCCCCTTGTCCTCCTCTTGGGGACACTTTGCATACTCATCCGCAGTTGGGCAAATGTTTTCAATTTACATGGCTAAGCGGTAGTGTGGTAGTGTGGCCAGGGTTTCACAAGGGAAAACATGATATGGTCCTATTATTGTATTATAATAAGATGAGTAACCCCATTTCGATATTTTCAAGTGACACCAAACTGTCTTGAAATGAGAGAGCTCATTATCTGTTGCTTACGCACCTTACTAAAGGACCTTGGTTCCTCTAGAACTTCCCCTAAGATCACTCAAAATAAAGTCACACCAACAATATTTTTGTATGTGTTTCGGTCTATTTAAAGTTGGAACTTCACCCATGAAAGGAAGATGGTAACTGAATTGGTTTCGGAATGTCCTAGTTAACAGTAATGACGTCTATATAAATAAATTTCAGAACGATTAAGCGATTCTAGCCCCTGCTGCCGCCACATTGCTTCTTGCCGGGATTACTCGCGAGCCGCTTTAACTCGGCGAAAAGATCACATTGACTGGGAACGTCCAGGCAGTTGCACTCGATGCGCCTGGGCGGCCGGATGGCATCGCGAGAGCACTCTGAGAAGGCCGGATACGGGGCTTTCACCTTGACGCAGTCTGTCTTGCGGCGGACAATGAAGCAGGATGTGTTGTCGACGGCCTTGCATCCGGGCATTGTGATCTTGGGGCAGGGTCCATCGGTGGCAATGGAGCACTCGTCCTTGGGACATACCCCGGCGGCCACGAAATCCTTGCGCTTGCGACGCTGAATGGGCGGGTGCTTGGCCTTTATGTGGCAGCAGATCTTCTTGGGCTTGATCTGGATGGGCGGACACTCTACCCAGGTGACCTGGTACACACGCTTGGCCTTGTCGGAGATCTCATAGAAGCAGTCGTCGAACTTGGGACTCCTGTCCCGGCAGGGGTCGTCGCAGCACTCTGGGGGCATCTTGATCAAATGATGGAACGCGAACGAGTCTGATTGGGTAGTCGGGCCTTTTTTCTCATAGCGGGGATCGCCGCAGCCGTTGAATTTGCCACACGACTTGCCGCCTGCAGAGTCAGTGCACTTGGGCGGCGGGTTGTGGTCCGTGGCATACAACCGGCCAGAGATGGCGCCCGAGAACCGGGGCACCAAATGGCATCGGGTCTTGGTCACTGCGCTGCGCCACATCGTAGACATATCTGGGGATGTTGGCCTGAAAAGTAAACAGAGGAATTCCGAAACCAAAGAAAGAATACCTTTCGGGTTTTTAAATGTTTTTTGAATTTTCCGAACTAAAAACGAAAGACCGAAAACATACACAGCTCAACGGAGCCGATGTGGAATTTAGAAGAGGCCGTATGAAACTGAGCCCTAAACCTAATCGCATCTGCTACATGGAAGCGAAGTTCGGTCCAAGGCCTACTTCGTGGCGAGTTTTTGGATTCGACTCAAGGGGATCGAGAGTACCTCAAAGTCAGAGTAGGCCCAGAAATCCCATTCTTTCCTGTTGATGTAGCCGATCAAGTCAGTCTTTATCCACTCCTCGGCCTTTCCACACCTTGTTTTGGCTTGTTTCGGTAGAGTTAGCAAAATTAAAAACAAAAAAACAAAAAAAAAAAATATAAAATAATAAAATCAAAATGTGGCGAATGTATCGGGTATTCGTGGAACAGGGCTTAAAGTCCTGCCTGGATTCTCTGGCGAATTCATGCAACCAGCTGAAGGCCGAGGTCTTGAGGCCCATCTTCGGAGCAGGATCGGGCGTTGCAACATCTGGAGCAGCCGGAGCACCTGGAGCTTCTGGAGCACCTGGAGTAGGGGCAGTCAATATCTCCAGTGTGCTCTGCCTGCAGGTGCGCAACTACAGCAAGAAGGCCGCCGCCGATGACAACTGCGGGGCGCCCAAGGAGTGTGACACTCAGAAAACGGACGGATCCAAGGGATGCGGTCCCTCACACTTTAAGGGCTCCATCTGCGATATGGTCAAAGGCACGAAGGCCAAGAAGGCCGAGGAGAAGAAAGAGTCCAAGCCCAAGAAGGCCAAGTCCAGCAAGAAGATTTCCATGTGGGAAGTTGACGGGTGTGAGTACGTGCCCGATTGCGTATTGCCCTCCCGCCTGGATATCGCCTACTATCGCATCACGGACAAGCAGGCCCGCGAATACCAAGTTACATGGAACGAGTGCCCCAGGCTGGTGATCAAGCCCAAAAAGGTATGCATCCACCAGAAGCACCCCCGACCAAAGCCCTGCCGTCGTCGTCGCAAGGGCCAGGCGGCCACCGCTCGGCCCAAGATGCCCATGGTCAACCCCATGAAGTGCCATGAGGAGGGGGCGACCAGCACCTGCCCCCGCTGGACATTGCCCTGCTGCAAGCCAGCCCGGAATCCGCCAAGCTGCACCCTCACGCGCCGCGTCACAAAGTGCAAGAAGCGTCTGGCGCCTTATCCCAGCTTCTCGGAGTGCAGGAAGGACGAGTTGCCCGACGCGCCGCCCACTGAATGCAAGTGCCTGGCCACACCCATGGCCTGCGAAGTTTGGGCCGAAATTCGTCGCCGAATTGCCCGGGGCAAGTCCCCAGTGCTCAAGTGCGGCGAAGTGTAGGAGGCGGCGACAGATCATTCAGCCGAACTAGGGAGCTTGTGAAAGTTGGCCCCCAAGCACCACACCGTTCATATCAAAATTCCAAATCTTCAAAATGTTTAGACTACTCAAAATTCTATCTGTTACCACCTCCTCGGCTCTGATACCGAGCTTCAAAATGCAGTGCCTCGTTAGGAGCACGGCTCCAATTGCCATCCGCTCAAAGAGCGCCACATCCAAGTCCTCTTCAACTTTAAACTCAAAATCAAAAGGCAAGAACAAGCCGGAGCCCAGTTGTAAGCGCAATGCCCGGAAGAAGAATTGCTCCAAGGTGCCAGCACCGTCTCCGAGCTACTCGGAGTGCCGGCGAGAGCCCGCGGTACCCAAGCCCCCTACAGAATGCGACTGCGGAGACTTTGACAAATGCTGATCAGTCAATCATCACGGATGTCGGAGGATAGCTTACAAACCCCACACTGAAGAACTTTATCGAGCTGTTAAGTTGGCTTTTATTATTTAATACTGTCTTAATCTTTTCCTTGGCGGCACCTGGAGCTTAGGTGTTTCGTCCACAACTTTGACCCGGGTACTCTTTTTCAACTACTTTCCTTGATGACACTTAACCATTAAAATATAACTTCAAAATAACTCTGGCTAGTAATTATTAAAGAAATTCTAGGAACACAAGATATGGTCTTTTGGTTTTCAAAAATATATCTTTCGCATATATCTATCTTTTTCACTCCAATTTAAACGCTTTGCCTGCAAAGTACAGGCGAAGTGTAATCAAGTTCTATTCTGTGTGAAAAGAGGGATTCTTTTAAGCTTTGTTTATAAAGAAAATCTTTATGTATTTCTGTGATCTAAATAAAGCAGGAAGAGAGGGATCGCGCTCTATTTTCTAAATCCAAACATATGTTAAAACATTTTTGAATCAGTGACCCATGACAGCAATGTCAGGTCGTTTCCCTCCATTCGTTCAGTTTAAATTTGGCCTTAGTTTGTAACAACAAATTGTCCTTTTTTGGCCTAGTTTTGCACTAAATAATTTGTACTTTCGACTTTGCAAAAATGCTTTCCAAAAAGATCTCAGTAAACAGGCGGCTATTGGCCTTTGAATTCGGAAATCTGGTAAAGATTCGAGGAATTGCAGAGTTCCAGCTGTGTAATCCCCAGAACTGGCCGGGTGATGACCTGCAGAGCCGTGCGTACGAGCGAACTTGGTTCAATCGGCATGAGGCACCATCCGAGGAGATCCGAGGAGTGCACAACCGGCGCCTCGACGAGACCATGTACAGCCCCAAACTCTGGACGGAGCGCGAGTACCAGTCCACGTGGCGGGAGCACATTATGGAGGAGGAGGAGGATGATGAACCCAGTTACCAGGAGCAGTTAGCGATACAGAATCCGTGCGAAGAGAGCCAAGCGGCACAAATTCCCGATACGCTGCCCCGATTCGATTCGACGAGGCGACTCCAGAAGACTTTTATTCCTGCAAGCGAGTTCTTCTCCAAGTTCATCTCCGACCAGCAGAAGCGCAGGATCCGTCACTACGAGGCAGAGGTGATTGCAGATCGCTTGGGACACTAAGGGCCTTGGCGAATGTGTGGCACGGTCCAGATCAGTCCGTAAATTGTTAAGCAGAACAGAAATCCAAATAAATTAAAGAACTCACAAGTATGGTTGTTGTGAATAATTCAATTTTGAGAAAGCATATTTAAGAAGTAATAAAAAGTAACAAAAGGAAATCACCGTAATGTACAGATTGATTTTTAAATATATGGTTTTAGATGCAAATTACTCATTTAGAATAAAGATTTAACCCAGTATTCACTATATAATGATGGGCGTACGATGTGATGTAACATTTCACGTGAAAGAATAAATTGAAAAAAATATAGTTTTCTAGTTTATTTAAATATATGAAATCGAACATTCACACAGATCTTAGCGTGATAGAATTATATTGTATAATTCTACTATGGATCTTAGTAGGCGCTGAAACTCACCTCAGCAACAACTGCTTAGAAAAGAGTCAGTACCATAAAAGATCTCATCGCTTTCATTTTAGCTAAATTTTTTTTAGAGTTTTATTCAAAATTTTAAATGTTTCCCTAAATTCATCAGTTTGTTCGAAACGCGACGGGTTCAGTTTAGTTAATTTCGTTTTAGAGTCGGCAACATGTTGCTGGTGCGAAGGTCGCTTCTTAATGCTCCGGCAGCAGCGACGCAGCAGCTCCGTTACGTGAACTCCACGAAAAACTACGACGTGCCCAGGACGGATCTGGAGATGTTAACCATTCCGGATCGTTCCAAGACCACTCAGAGGGAACGATGCTGGGCTTCGCAGCGTCGCAGCGAGTTCAAGTGCCCCACGGACATAGAGTTCGAAGCGCCGGTTTCGTTCTTTGATAAACAAGCAAAATGCGTCGATGATCCCTGCATTAAAGCATTCCCGCCCAGGGATCGTACGCTCTACAAGCCCTCGGACATGATGAACCGAAAGTACCAGCGCACCTGGCGCGAGTGCGTAATTGAGGAGCGAAAGCGAAAGGCCGTCTGCAAGAGCAGTCCGATCTTATATGAGCGGCGCACCCGCTCAACGTCAAAGCTTACTGCGAGGTCCCCCCCAGTGAGCAACTTGAGCCTGGGACTAGGGCCGTGTCGTCGCAAGGGTGACAGCCCTTGCCCCAGGGTCAAGTCGCCCCACTGCAAGGAAGCGAACCTCAAAGGCTGTTTCCCCGTTACCCCACCTTCTAAATGCAAGAAGCGCAGGACCAAGTATCCCTCCTACTCGGAGTGTCTGAAGGACCCGCTGCCTGACCTGGCCCCATCAGAGTGCTTCTGCATCAACACGCCGCCCATGTGCGTGGTGTGGAACTACTACCGCATGAAGAAGTCCTAGGCGGATTGGGGTTTTCTTAGGCGACCTAGTTTCGAATAAAGGAAAATAAACATTATCCGATCCATGAAGGCTTACGATTTTTACTTATTTACATAATTACGAGGGCAGTAAAATAGTTGTTTACATTTAGTAAGCAGAAATTTAAAGTGAAGTTCGATTTTCTGTATGATTGTGAACTTGACTACCATCTACTTGCTATATTCATCGGAAAACCAGTAAATAAATAGCCAAAATATCTTTTTAAATAAAGTTTCTTGCCATTAATAAAATTTGAAAAATATCAATGAGAAATAAGCTATGGAAACCAAGCCTCCTTTGACTAAAGTGTCACTTTATTTAGCCTATTTTCATTGATAAAAACACCCCCTTTTCGGTCTACTCCTGTCAAAATTTTTCCAGATGCTGTTTTCAAAGCTACGCGAGCAACGGCGTATCCTGGCCCTGCGGAGAATTTACGACTGGGGCAACTACGATGTCACCGCCGGTGAGTGCCGCCCGATCCTCGAAGAGAGTACCGCCGAGTGTACGAAGGACAAGTTTGGTTGCCCGCTGAAGGTAAAGAAACCCTTCGAGACGCCCTCGTTTAAGCGAGACAAGTACCCCTTGTATCTGAAGGAGATTTACGATCGGAAGGATCGGCCCGTAGATCCCGGGTGCCCACAGAGACTGATCCGCCATGACAAGCTCAGGTACAAGCCCTCTGACAAATTCCGTAAGTTTCAGCGCACCTGGCCCGAGTGCCCGCAGATCTGGTTGCGACCGAAGGACACCTGCTGTCCCGATCCAGAAATCATTCCGCCTACGAAACGCCGTGTTCGCCTTCCACCGAAGCCATCGCCGACAACTATCGAAAAGCACAACTTTCAAATGGATCTGTTTTGCAAATCCTTCATCAAGGGGGCGGGCTGCAAGCAGGGTCGTCGTCCTCCCGACTGCCGTCGTCCTCGCGAAGTCAGCGACTGCACCAAGACGCCAGCTCCGATACCCAGTTTCTCGGAGGTCTGCCGCGACTTGGTGCCCAGTTACTGCCCGGCCGAGTGCGCCTGCCTGACGCTGCCCACCAGATGCGATGGCTTGGCCAAATACCAAAGATGCAGAATGGTGCAAAAGACCTGCACCAAGCCTCTTATTGCCTATAAACCTAGATTGCGCTTTCCGTACTGAGGCTGTCTTCCCCAGAGCAATTTGAAATATCTGGACGACTTTGCAGAGCTGGCTTCTAGGATGAACACAGTACCCGATGCCTTTCCAGTCACTATTTGATGGTCTAATTTTTCAGACCTTTCCCTTATCTCCCTCAAAATTTTAAGGATGCGGTCGGCACTCCGGCTCATCTGCCGACGTTGCTGCAGGTGCTACTCCTACAAAGTAACCAACTTTCCGGAGATGCCATGCCCGCCCACGGAGCCCAGGGCCCCCCCTTGCTCGGTAGCCCAGGATGTACCGCAGCAACAGCAGCATTTCACTTGTTGTGACGTGCGATCGATGGCAAGGCATCCCTGCTTTACTCCAGAGCGGCCCAAGCCACCGAAGCAGCCCAAGGAACCCTTCCGCTCGGTGTGGGAGACGTCGTGCGCAATCACCGAGAACAGCAACTGCAAGGACTTTCTGCCGCGCTTTGACTCCCTGTACTATCATCCCAGGTACGACAAACGCCGTTTCCAGCGCACCTGGGTTGAGTGTCCACCGGTCAAGCAGCGCCTTAAGAAGGTATGCTGCCTGGACGGCATCGAGCCACCCGAAGTGCTTCCCCGTGCTCCCCACGATCGCTGCGCCTGTAACATCGACTACAAACGGCTGCGGGCTCTCTGCTACGAAACAGAACTGGCTCGAGATCCCGGCAAAAAGTGTGTGAAGATCTACCAGCCCTGCTGCCAGAGGCTGGCCCGCTGCAAACCCAGCTGCAAGATCAGGAGAAAGACCATCTGCACCAAGCTGCGAGCCCCGTATCCTTCGTATTCGGAAAAGTTCAGGGGCAGGAGGCCTCTCCCTAGCTCTGAGTGCCGATGCCATGACTTTGTGCCCAAATGCGTGGCCATGAAGGTGGAAAACCACAGGATAAACCTCGAAATCCAGCCCTTCTGTTGAATCAAAGCAATGAATGCAAGTTGCCAAAGACTTGCCGTCAATGTTTTGCTTCAGCAGCCGGGAAATTCAGTAAAATTTTGAAGAAGAAAAGATTGCTTTTAAGTGGATTCAAATAAAAAATTTCCAAGTCCGTAGTAGTTGCATTTACTTTATATTGGGAAATTCAAAGGAGAATCTGCTGTCTGATCACGGAAAAATTATGTTTTGTGTATTGAGGAAGCCATGTCTTTAAAGTTTTGCAGGCAAATATTTCGGTGACACATTTTAAACAAAAGTAAATCCAAATCGAACGTACATTTCAATTCAGACATTCCAAGGCTAAACGTATTGTAGTCCAAACCCACAGGCGTAAATTCGAGAGCAGAAGAAGACAACGGGAACCGCAGACGATCAAGGATGTCAACCTCCATTTTGGCCACGATGTGCGCCGAGCGCCTGACCAAGATCCTGGTCCGCTACTCACGCGCCCCCCAGCCCACGCTGGTGCGGAACGATTGCCAGTCGCAGTCCCAGTCCCCGCGCTCCCTTCAGAGTGTTAATCCCCTGCCGCGGAGCGAGGCCACTGTGGCCCACCTCAAGCCCCTGGCCAACGGCGGACAGGTGTCGTCTTTGGGGAAACCAGCCGTCAAGTGGCAGCCATTGACCAGCTTCTCTAGCATAGGACAGAGGCTTCAGCAAGCAAACAAGACAGAGCAGGCGATCCTGAGACCCAAGACAGAAGTGCCGCAGTTAACCAGCTTGTCTAACATCGGACAGAGGATTCAGCAGGCAAACAAGACAGAACCGACGATAATGAGAACCAAGACGGAAGTTCCGCCACTGAACTTTACGAGACATACCGATAGCTTAGCCAGCAAATCGAGGGGATTTCAGGATTGGAAGAACCTGGGTTCTTCACGCTACTCATCGCCGTTCGCTAGTATTTTTCAGGGGCAAAGCGTACCGTTGAAGCCCTTCGCCCAAGATTCTCTTGCCTTCCATGCCAATAGAGTGTACAGGGACTGCTATTAGCCGGTTACACTCGGGCAGTCCTCGATCCTGTTGCCAAGCCCGGCCGCAGCTCAGCCACAGCACCACACCATGTGTGTAGAGCCGAGTTGCGACTGAGATTGGTAACAGGACTCGGGGTTGGCCTGGACTCTGTAACAGAATAAACGTGTTTCGTCTTAAGAAGTTGGTTTATTTTTTTTATTTTTTCATGTGCTTTCAGGGTTATCAAAGGAATCTGGGAGTTTATAGATATCGGCTGTGACACCACCTTTTACTCTCTCGGCCCGCCTTATGTACACGTTTCGAACCACTTCCTCTCCGATCCGGAAGTCAAAATTAAATCCTCCAGCCATGCTCATCAGTATGGCCAAGAAGATGGTTTGTATGTCCAGCCTTAAGGATCCGACCACTCTGGCTCGGATCTTCCATCACTCCTCAGTGATGGCACAAAAGAAGGACCAGCGGATTCGGTACGCAAAGCCTTGCCCGGAGAGCGAGGTGCCCAACAGCAAGGTGTTAAATAGGAAGCCCTGCAGTCCCACGGAGCTGGTGGGTCCGTGCAATGAGGGGGACTGCAGTGAAACCATGGTCCCGCCCTGCGTGAACAAGCGCATCTCGGAGAGCCCGTGCACGCCGTCCGTCAATAGTAAAGACTTCAAGAAGCCACGGCATCCGTTTAATTCCATGTGGGAGTCGTACAAGGGCAAGAAGTACGCCCCACCAGTGGTCGAGTGGGACTATCCGAAGGAAATTTGCTGCCCTGATTGCGAAGACGTCCGCTTCGACTTGCTCTACTACACGCCGTCGAAGAAGAGCCGCAACTACCAGCGCACCTGGTGGGAGTGCTCGCCGCGAATGGTGCCCAAGCGGGTATGTTGTTGGTGTGATGCAGTCCCGCCGCAAGTCCAACGCCGGACGGTGAAACCGCAATGCGCAACCTCCGTTTGCAATAACGAGCACGAGAGGATGCGCTTGGAGTGCCTCAACAAGAACTTTAAAGGCTGCCCGCGGTGGCAAATGCCATGCTGCCGAGCCTCTCGCCATCCGCCAAACTGCAAGGTGTACCCTACTCCCTCCGATTGCGTGAAGACCAAGTGCCCGTTCCCCAGCTACTCCGAGTGCCTCCAGGAGGAACCGGCCGATATTCCCGGGCGTGCCCCAGAGTGCACGTGCCTTAAACGTCCCCCCGATTGCCTAATACTCCGGCGGGCCGACCATATGGCCAAAAACAAGAACATTAGAGTGAATCCCTGTCTGAGCCGAGAGGCGGAACCATAGATAGATACTGCATCCTGCTGTGATCCCTGTTTGAAGCTCTGCTGCAATTGCTCCAGCAGGGATTCCCACAGGGAAGCCCCATTCATCAGAAGCCATATTTTATAGGGATACATAAATCCCATAGCTATGTGGTTTCTGGTGATGGTGGCTTTTCGATCACAGCAGGCTCTCCACAAGCTGGCCCCAGCTGTCAGTGTGCTGGGCTCTAGATACCTCACTCACCTACCTGACTTTCCTCAGAGCTGACTGTACCTTCCGAAAAGCCCCTATCTCCAGGCCTTGTTCAAAATTCCAGTATGTCTCGTCTGTTGGTGGTCAGAAATCTAACACGCGGTATTTTCCGCTCAGGCCGCCTAGCCCTGGGTTGCAGAGCTGTGGTGCGATGTCTGTCCGACGACTCCGATTGGTCCTCTAAGCAGGTGCAGAACAAGCTGAAGTGGGTCGAGATGGAGCAGCCCTCGGGACAGACAAGTAACCGCCTCGCCCGGTCGGAAGTGAAGCCCAAAGATATCCAATGCAGCGAGTTCAACGAGAAAACAGAAGACAGCTTTACCGCCACGTGGGACTTAAGGAACAATGAACTGGATGTAGAGCAGCTGGCAGGTCTTTCGGGTCCCGGTGAAGTCGACGATCCGTACATGTCGGCCGAGCACGAACAGGAGGCCTCGGAGAAGGAGGAGCACATCAAATTCCAGGAGGAATTGCAATTTGGTAGGATGCTGGCATTGCGCGAACAACTGAACCGGGAGCTCTGCTCCTCCGAATCCTTTACCACCGAAGAACGAAACTCTCTGGCATCCGTGAAGGAGAACGTGGACTTCATGATGCAGGAGCTAAGCCAGATCTCATGTTTGTTGAAGACCCTGCAAGACAACGCCCCCGATACGATGAGCCAGGAGGATTATGTCATGGGAAAGCCTTATTCTTCCTGGGAATACACACATCCTCGGTTGAACTCGAGCAAGGTGGATGCAGATGTCTCTCTCAGGGAAGTGAAAAAAGAGAAATTAAGGGAGTCTCCAGACTCGGAAAGCCCTGTAATAATCTCTGATCAAGAAACTGCCTCCTCCGTGGACACACATTCCAGCTTAAACCCGAACACGGTGGATGGTAATGCCTTTTATGAGGAAGTGATGGAACTAAAGGAGTCCCAGGAGCACTCAGAAGTACCTGTAAAGACCACTGAAGCCGGAGAAGTACCCAAGGGAGAGCAGTTCAACCCTGATCAAGAGATGGCCGCAGATGATTCGCCAAAAGCCACGCCCGCAAAACCTTCAGAGAGCACTCCCAATCCCAATACAGATGGCAGGCAGAACCCTCAGACCCAGGAAACCATACATACATATAGACCTTTCAGAACCATCGATGTGCCGGTTCCTAAGCCCAGTCAGAGCTCCCAGGTCGATGCCGTAGGAAGTGCTGAAAACTCTGCGACGAAAGATGGCTACACCATTTGTGCCCAGCTTCCAGAGTCCGAGTCCCGCTTACTAATGTACATGGCTCTGAAGCAGGCCCTAAGCGACCTGGAGTCTGGTAGAACCAGCTACAAAGCCACCGTGCTGATGGCCAAAGATGAAAACCAAGGTGTGGATTAGTTTGCAAAATTAACAAAAATAGTCAATAAATATTCAAAACATATATTTAAACTTTTAAGTGAGGGACTAGGGGCACCTTTCTGGGAGTTTTCTGTGAAAAAAAATTAAACTCTGAAATTCTGAATTTATTTCTTATCCTTATCCTTCTTTTTCTTGTTTTTCCTATCCTTCCTTTCCGGCTTTTTTTTCAACCTCTTTACCTTCTTGGCCCGCCAAACATCTTTGGGACACATAAAGGTCGGCTCATCTTGAATCTTGACCCGCTGGCGACACCGCTCCACCTCGCAGAGACTGATGGTGCGCCGGCACTCGCACTCGGCAGCTCTCGGCCGAACCCGAGCCAGCGGCGGCTTCTTGCACTCTGACCAACTGGGAACTGGAGCACAGAGTTTTCGGCAACATACACGTTGGTTATCCTTGCGGCAACGTGGCGGACGGCGGCCAGGAATGCAACGCGCCAAGGGAGCTAGATGAGGACAGGGACCGATATCCTGGTCTTCTGGATAAGAATTGCTAACGCGCTCTCGTTTCTTGGCCAAGCGCCGAGCCGGCTCTAAGGTCTCCAGCTTGTCGTAGGCGCAGATTACCTTCTTGCGGAACATAAACTTGGGGCACTCCACCCAGGTGCGCTGGAAGGGACCGTCCTTGCAGGAAGGATGATAATATAGCTCGTCGAACGAGGGCAGGGGCTTGGTGCAGTTGGAATCGCAGCAGAGCTCGTTCGAGCGCCGGACTAGGAAGGGATACGGAGGCGGAAGGTTCTGGGGCGGTTCCCACATGGAATGGAACCTGTCAGGTTCCGCACAGAACCTGGCAGCCTGGCATTCCGTCCGCACCTTGCACGGTTTCTTTTCGCTGGCTGCTGATGGTGTTGCTGGAGACTTATCTGAAAGCTTGGCTGGTGGTGGAGCTGGTGGCTTTTCTGGAGGCTTTCCTGGCGGCCGACTGCCGCCTTGCCTCAGGGTAAAGGCCCTCGAGAGGTTGGACCAAAACATTTGCCAAAACTTTTTGAACTATAAATTGGAATTTTTAAAAATTTATAAACAAAATTTATGGCGAAAGTTAAAATATGTGATTCAAGCTAATCGAAATTGAGCTCTTGGTTTGCTGAGAGGAAAAATCCGATGGAGGGTCCTGCCTGCAACTGCAAGTTGCGCGGAAAATGGCAACTTCGACGCAGCGGCGACAGGCAACACAAAATTGCAAACAGCGGACTGCGCATGTTTAAATTTAATTGAACATTTAGCCAAATTAAAATGCATTTTATTACGCAGACCCAGCCGCAGTTTCTGGCCTGGAAATGCAAAACAACGCGCGCCCAATCAGCCAGGCCAGCTCAAGTGAAGTTTTTGGCCAAGTCGGAGTTGGCCAGACCCGTAGATAGATGGCAGAAAAGGCAAAGATACACAGAGAGAATTTAACGTACAAAATGAATATTAAATTTGTACGAAATATAAATAAAATATTATATAATTGTACAACTAAGTAGTACATTGTTGTATTATTTTATAAATATTTTAATAGACTTAATTTTTGCTTAAGTAATTCCCCAAAATAATTGTAAGACCTTTTCTTAGTGCAAAGCCAGAGACAAAGCCAAACGCCTGTGACGCTGACTGGGCCTAGGCACGCAACGGTTATTCAGTTTTGTCGGTTTTGCGTTTCGGCTTTAAATTGTTGGCAGGCAGCAGCGCTCTTATGCGAAATTTGGCACAGATTCGCGCGGGCAGATTCGAAGCTATTCGATTCGATTCGATTCGACTCGGAGCAGATCGTTTTGAGGCGGAACTGCGAGGACAGGCCGACTGGGAAACTGGTTGCAGACAGGCCCGGCAACATGCGTTCTGCAATTGTTTAATAGCCTAATTAAAATGTGCGAGGGAACAGGTTGGTCAGCCGGGAAAGTCGGGCATATGCAAAAGCGAAGGAGAGCGAGCGAGCGACTGTCATGTATCGCCAAGCGAACTCCACTGATGTGATGTGAAGTGATGTGATGTGATGTGACGGGGACAGTGACTGCCATGCGGGTGGTTTGTCAGCTGCTAATGCCACTCTCTCTTTACTTTACTTTTTCCCCTTTTAAATATATATATTTTTTCCTTTTTTTGCTCCTTGTTCTGGCTTGCAATTACATTTGGCTGTTAATTGCATTATGCATATTTATGGAAGCGCTCCGGCTGGAGCTCCTCTGGCAATCGAGTTAGCTAGGAGGATGGGGAGACGGAACCGGCGACAATGCCGGCTCATTAGCATACATCAGCGCGTTAAGCTCGGAGCGAGTGTCTGACTGAGTTACGAGCAGCTTTCCACTGTCTGCAGCAGCCATCATCGTGCCCATCATCGTCATCGTCATCCACTGAGTGGCTTAGTGGGTGTTGCCCTCTAATTTAAATTAAAATATGAAAAATACTCAACGGGCAAGCAAAGGGGGTAACGGCTGCAACGGCAACGGCAGGGAACAAAAACATCAAGCTTGGAAAACTGAAAAACGTGCAGGAAAATCAAATCTAAAATAGCTGCTGGACATGGCATAATCAAATTGTGTACACTGGCCAACCCAAAGGAGTGAGGAAAATGTGATTTTTCACTGAGATTATGACTGGCATGTGAGCTAAGCTTACTAATTATGCATTTTCTAGTGATTTAAAGCTTTTCTATTTTTTAAATTTAATAGAAATTAAGGGACATATTCAATTGATAAGAGATATATGATTAAAGGAAGGCTTAAAAGGAAATTCTTAAATGGTTTTAATCAAGTTCAAAATGCTGAAGGAGTGCTGCCAAAGGTTTAAAGTTTTTCCATATTTAAAATGTAAATTGTTTTTAAATATATTTTAAACTTGATGTATTTTCTTTTTATCTTAAATACAAGGCACAGTTCCTTAGCAGCCGACTTGTGGTACTTCCTGTCATATCTATTGGCTTTTCCCTGCCTTCACCTAAGCTCAATTTCTCTTTCTCGCCGACACCCGAAAGTATTTTCTCTGGAATGTACCCAAAAGTTTGTCGCTCTCAGCCAGAGTTTTCCTCTTGGCCCGGGTCGAGTGTGTTGTGTGTGTGTGTGTGTGTGTGTGTGTGTGTGGGCATTCCCGGTTCTGGCCGCTGGCTGAGAACTTCTGGGCGCCGGTTCAGGCCAAAAGTCTTCGACGAGAGAAAGAGAGGCCAACGGAGAGGAAGTTAGAGCGGCGGAGCACGCGAGCGTAATTCGCACAAATGGCCGTAATAAATAAATGTGCCATTAGGCTGCATGCTAACTCCGGCTGGATTTGCAGAAATATGAGCAGAAACATTAGACGGCGGCCAGTCCACCAGTCCCTGGTATATCAATAAGCCGGGCGAGCGGACCAAAAAACTTTCTAATCGCACTATAATTGCGGGCTAAAAAAAAAATACAAACCGAATTAAGAAAGCCAGAGGGGAAGGGGGAAATGGCACTGGCAACCAACATGACATGCTGTAAATTATGCTGCCAATGTTGCAGGTGGAGTGCATAAGTCATACCAAGTAATCAGTTTGTTAACACCCCGACTAAGTTAAGTGCTTGGCTCAATTAGACCATAAGCCAATTGGACGACGCCATAAATTCACCTGCCGTGATTTACCGAATTAATCGACAAATACACTTGCCACGGCATTAGCATAATTAAGCCAAGTCAAGTTTGAGATAGCAATAATTTTAGAGATTTTTCGATATAGATATTGATATGGGAAACATTTTACACGATACGTATTAGCAAATGGCAAGAGAATACAAATTTTTATGATGAAATTAAAATACTTTATTTATGGCATTTCAATTATTAACCTTTATTCCATTTATTAATAAGCTAGCCATATTCCGTTGTTAATAATTCATCGATAGCACCATGAACCGATTAAAAAACAATCATTTAAGTAGATTTCCCCCTCGATATTTAAAACAAACAAACCAAAAGCCAAGTCAAGACCCCAATGAAAGTCGAATGAAACGGGTTTCTCGAACCGCAAATTGATCCTTCTTCTCATTTTAGAGACTATCAATGATCGCCAAACGAAATGCCAATTAGGCCGACCTTAATTCTGCCTCAGCCCCACCCAATTAAACAGAAACAGGATCTGGTCGATAGTGCCGAGGCGGGGGGATATCTTTTAATTGAAATAATTACACATTAAGTGCATTAATTATTTTCACTTGCATGCAAACGGCGAGGACGAGGACGTGGACGTGGACGCCGGCAAGTCGCCACCATTTGCCATTTGCCGTTTGCCTTTCGCGTAATTATTAATTTAAGCCCTTCGACCAGTCCGCTGGGTATCGTAGGCCATTACGAGCTACAACAACATGAGGCACGACACAGGCACTTGCTTTTGCAACTCGTTTTGTAGCCGCCGTTAGCTTAGGTCATAATTATTAACGCAAAATCATAATTAAAAGTGTATTTAGCTGGACGATGAAATATGTTTTGGCCGCCGCCCCCGATGGCAGCAAACCAGGGGGGTCCGAGACTACATATAGTCCGACAGGAGTCGGTAGTAATTAGCTAGAAAAAAACGTCAGTTAATGTTGGGGGTGTGTGTGTGGAATTGTGGGCGATATCATTAGACATGTGTTTTTTTAAGTTATAGTAAGAAAGACAATTAACTTTAGGATTTTCCCTGCCACTTTAATTTGGTTTGACTTCAAAAGGTCAATAACTTTTGCCATCGCCAAAATACAAGCTCAATTTGCTGTCATCAGTCTCCTGTGTGTGCCGCTACCTTCTAAACTAATTAAAACATACAATACCCAAATTAATTACTAAAACAGGTTAAGTTGGGCGCATAATAGCCATCTATCCAGCAACTGCTGCTGCCTCTGTTGCTCCTGTCGATGTGGCTCCTGCACCTGCCGTGACGTTGATCCTGCTGCTGCTGCTGCTGCTGCTGGTGCTGCTCTTGCCTGTTGTTCTTGGCGCTTGAATAATTATTGCAGTCAACTACTGTTCGGTTCGGGTATCAGCCGGCTTCCAGGACCCTCCCGGCACGTCAATTGTTTCATTAGTTACCCTCAGACGGACGAGCTTGTTTGGCGGACAACCCGGCGTATGTGTGATATATACCCCTGATGCCCCGATGGCTGTCGAGGTCGAGGAAGAATGGCGAGGCGAGGGGTATGCAAATAAAGTGCTGAATATATTTACTAATAACTATTTTACCTTAGCGACATGTGTCGCGCTCACCAACAGAACCATATTTCCGCTGTCCCTTTTTGGCCAAAAACTTTTGCGTCAATGTTTTTGGCTTCTGCTGTTTCGGGGGCGTTTGGCCACGCCCCCGTCGTCTTTTTTTTATTTTGTTCTTTTTTGTACTGTGTGTGTCGCATATGTCAGCTGCGGCACTCATAATTTATTGAAGCACATAAATTTCACTTAATTGGCAGTGCCAATAATAAAGCAACAACAAGGACAACTAACGATGACACCAACAAAACTTTGGCCAAAGTCCTTTGGTCCTTTGGCGCTTCTTGCACATGCACATTAGCTGCAATTAGTGAGTCGACTAATTACTGTGTAAAGTCAGTGGTTTATTAAATGTAATGTTTTGGTACAAGAAACTCTCTGAAAATCAATAAACTAATGCGGAAAATGGTAAGGAAAATGTTGGTAATTACTGTTTGATATATTTTGACTAGGATTTAATTAAAGTCTTTTGACTCATCTTAAGAAATAACTATTAATTTATTAATTTAATAATATAAAGTATTACAAATCAAGGAATTTTCTTATCCCAACTCCAAGCTCTAATTTTCACAATTTTCCTTCAGGTTTAACTCTCTCTCTCTCTCCTGCACAGTGAACTCATTAAACAAACAAAATCGGCCAGAAAACTTGTTTCTGCCATTGTTATTTTCTATTTTTTATTATCTGCGCCACACCCAAATGCATAGAGTTGAAAATTATGCATTTTTCTTGGAAATTTTCTATGCCATCTGCGGAGTAGATCTACTAAGCTGGTCCCGGACCAACCACCGACCCGAGCTCATAATAAACGAATTAGCGCCTTTGGCTAAATGGAAGTAGAATGCAATTTCATTGCAATTATCAAGTGGAGGAGACGGAGTCCTCCATCCACTCCTCTGTCGCTCCTTTGCATGGCTGGGCTAAATAAACAACCCGACTTGGAGTTCGACTTGGTCTGAGTCTGGGTCTTGGTCTTGGACTTGGCCCCACAATGAGCACATAAAAAAATTAATGCTCTCCCGCTCGGTGAAACCATAAAGGTATGTCTGCCTGCTGCTCATGGCCAATTTCTTTTGGGGCCAAAACGCAATGCTAACAAATAGAAAAATTATCGCAATTGTGGCATCTTTTTTATGTTTTTTTAGTTTTCTTGCTTGTTTTGTCGG